GGTTTTAACAGAAGCCCATCAATTTGCAAGCAATTACATCTATAAAAAGCGATTCGTGACAAGTGCAAAATGCCGGACGTGAAAATCTCTACCTATCCCAAGTTAACTCATTAAAAATGTATAAATATATTTTTATCTCGCGGATCTCTCGAATTAAAGAACGTACCCATAAAAAGTGTTTCCTTGGGCAGAAATTTTTGTTGTTAAGTGTGATTAAAATTATTTACAAGCACATCTGAAATCACTTAGAGAGTAAGGTGGAGTGTCTTAAGAGTGCGCATCACTGTTGAAACCACATTTATAAAAAAACAAATTGAATTTTTTTAATAACTGAAACGACCTCCACTTTTACAGGGCGTGGAATTGTAATAAACTATGGGCAACAAATAACAAACAATTTTTTTTTAATTTAGATAAAGCATATTGCACATGTTATGTAGGTAAATTAAAAACCATGCAATATCCTGGCCAAAGATTTAAGGATATTAGTCAATAATTAATGTTTGAAAGAAACTAATTTATTTTATTGTAATTTTAAGGTTTTTAATTTTCCTGAACAAAATCGAAAAGTTTACAACTGGTTGTGTTTTTTAAATAATACTGATTCACCGTTCTAAAGTTCTCTTAAAGAAAATGATGCCTTTTAAAAGCAGTATAAACTTTTTAATAGGTATAATACAATTATTTAATACAACAATAATTATAATAATAATAATAATAATTATTGGCGTTGAGAAACTATTTTATCTATTTTCCGTTCATAATGACTTCATTATAACACCGCTTTAGGTGCTGTAATGAGATACTTTATCCCACCCAAAATTTTGATTTTATAGGTTGGCTATACTTTAAACAGGATAATATTTTGCATATTGGTTATAATATTTTTATGAACTAGTTTTCTTGTAAATTTTGTTTAACACCAAAGAAAATCCATTTTTTCTTATTTAACATTAACAGCCGCTTATTGTAAATAAGTAAATTAAGGACGGCATGGCGAATCGATTTTGACATTAACTGTCAAACCAATGACTGTGATACCAACTATCTAAAGTAAAATTCGACAAATTTAAGGTACAAAATTATTTTTTTATATAGAATTTTTGCAAAATATATAAAATAGCATAAAGATGTCTCCTTCGTCGCTCGTTTTATAAATTGTCGCGGTGCGACAAAATGCAGCTTATGAAATTAGTCTTTAATATACTATTATACTTTTTTTTATTTTTGTATTAAGATAGTAAAATAATTTCCACATTATTATTTCACAAGAATGTCACTTTATTAAATAAAGTTTATTTTAACCATAAAAAATCACAAGTGTCATGAAAACATGGAAATAAATTTTAAAAAATTTATTGTAATAACTTTTGTGAGTAAATTGTATTGTATATTGTAAATTAAATTTCACAAGAATTAAATCATAACTTATTAAATTAACACTGTTGTCAGATGTTGTTATAAGGAAATTTTAAATGACAGCTTGTTACCAACAGTAAAATAATAAAACTATAGCTACCAAGATTAAATGAAAACAATTAATTTATTATTGAAGCTTAGGAAAACCTTTAAGTCTGCGATCATCACGCTCATTTATCTATCTTTGACCTGAATTCTCCGGCTTTAATAATACGTTTGGTTTGCAAACGGTTCGATACGATTTTGTTGGGTAAATTTATTACTATTAATATTTAATCTCTAGTGTCATGGACAATTCTATTACCTAATAAAACGAACAAACGTAAAAAATAGTTATATTTAAACTTGTTTTGCTTACTTAAGTTAGTAAACGTTTTTTTATTCGATTATTACCGTTGACATTTTGAATATTGAAATAAGAACGGGCACGATCTTGCATCGAATGTTCTATAATGGCGTTAAAATTGTACAAAGCACGACTTTTATAATAAACAAGGCCAAAGATTACCAAGAACAAAGATGACTATTTTTTCTTGAGCAGAGTAAATTGATTAGCCTTAATTAATTAAATGGGTAAAAAATAAATAAGTTGGTGTTAATTTAAAGAGAACTATATTGACACGACTTTATATTTTGTGGAAAATTTTTAACAATATTTATTGGGGCATATTAAGATATTTAGATTTTCTGAAAGTGGATAAAATTGTCTAGCATTTGATATAATTATTTAAAATATAAAGTAAAAAATAACAAAACCATAGTACAGACTTCCAAAGTTGCTGATAATTTTTGAAGAATTAAAATTAAAACGACCTTATATTTTTTGAAAAATTTCGAACAATATGTAGTGGGGCATATTAAGATAGGTATTTATATTTTCTGAAAGTGGATAAAATTGTCTAACCTTTGATATAAATATTTTTTTCTACTCCGCCCTTTATCGTACATGTTTCCATGACACTAAGTGACCTTTTAAATACACATTGACAAGTTGTGGCTTTATGGTGCTTTAGTCACGGGCTGAAGTTAGCAACTATAACTTAAATTCTGGCACGGACTCCACTGTAAAGTGCTCATAAAACATTTTCTTTACTTTCACTGTGAAAAACTGTCAATTTTCAAGAAATACATTTCGATTTATAACCTTTATAATTGTGTTTATAAAATATAAAAATTTGACATTTGACGGTGACACACAGATTCCCCTATTGTTTCATAGATGGCGCTCTATACAAATTTTTGATTTAAATCATTTTAAGATAATAATAAGTATTTGTCGTAGAAAAAGTATAGTATGCACCTCGTTTATAAACTTTTCTTTACACTCATTAATTTAAGCACTCGCTCGCAAGCTCGCTCGTGCCTAAATTAAATTCGTGTATAAAATGGCGTTTATCAAACATAATATACTATTAAAAATGAGTAAAAAATAACAAAACTACTGACTTACAAAGTTTTTTAGAAGAACGAAAATTTACACGACTTTATATTTTGTAGATTATCTCGAAAAAATGGTACCTACTGGAGCATATTAAGATATTTACATTTTCTTAAAGTGAATAAAACTGCTTAACCTTTTATATAATTATTATTAAAATTGAGTAGAAAATAACAAAATTACAGACTTTCAAATTTGGTGTGAGTTTTAAGAGAACTAACATTGACACGACTTACATTTTGTGGATAATCTCGAAAAATATATATAGTGGAGCATAAGTAGGTATTAAGATATTTATATTTTCTGAAAGTTGATAAAATTATTACTGTAATTAAGTAAAAAATACAATACTACAGCCCTGTCAAAGTTGGTCTTAATTTTTAATTTAATTTTATGAAAAAAAAAATCAAGAATACAAATAGAATGTTAATGTTAATTACAAAAAGGTACTTGTAAGTTAATTACCTAATCTAGAATGAATGAATAGGTGCAATAGCACACTTTTATGTTAACCAGCCTTGACGGATTAAGAGAATATGCCGATCGCATCCAATTACAGCTGAACGAAAAAGATGCATTAAACTTGACCGGATTTTATAAATGTAATGAGGCTTCAATTCCCTATTCGCAAATCATTTCTATTAGATCGATACGAGTTGAATCATTCACAGTTTCAATGAATGAAGTTTTCGGAATTTTGTTTAAATTTTTTATAAATTTTGTTTGGTTTTGACCCTGGGATTTCTCGACGAATATTTTAGTCAGGTCTAGTACATTTTCGAGGAATTTGTCCCCAAGAGGTCAAGTTTCGCAAGTTTACGTTGTTTTTGAGAATAATAAAATACCTACAATGTTAGCAAACTTTCTTATCGTATTTTAATATTTTCCATAATTTAATTTGATTTTTTCCATTTAATTTACTTTTTCATAATTTTGATTAGGATCAAATTTTTTACATTTTTTTATTATTAAATTTTAATTTTACTAATAGACAAAAAATTTTTTATTATTAAATTTTAATTTTACTAATAGACAAAATTTGGTTGCAAGCGCCAAAAACTTTTTCTGGGGTACCTAAACAAAATTATTTGCAAAATAACTCATTTTTAATGCTTCTCAAAAAATTAATAAAAATTTGGGAACCCTCTCAATCCTTTTGAGAGAAGTTCCAAATGATGCTTTATTAAAAATAAGTTATTTTACAAATAATTTTACTAAGCCCACAAAAAGTTTGTTCTGCTTGGTTCCTTTTCGATAAACGCTATAGCGTTTATCCATATGAATTATAAATTTATTTGAGTAACATAAGATCTAAGAAAAGGGGGTTTTATGAATATAAATTTAAATTAATATGGATAAAAAATAATATGAAAGGATTTATCACATTTTTTAAATCTTGTCGAAATTTTGAAGGTTATGTTTCTATCAAATTTTGACTATTTAGTCAAAATTTAAAATTTAATAATAAAAAAATGTAAAAAATATCCTAATCAAAATTATGAAAAAGTAAATTAAATGGGAAGAAATAAATTAAATTATGGAAAATTAAATTAAATGGGTTCTGAGTGCTGCAAATGCTGTAAACGTAAGTTTTTTGTTATATATTTTGTCATTCAGGAATGTCAAAAAAGACAGTTTTTTAAAAACTCATATTTTCCAAAAATATGCGCGGTTATAATCAACCAGCAACAGGTGGGTAAGTTAACAATAAAAATCTCTTATAAAACAAATTCACCTTCTTTATCTCTGAACAAAATATCGTGGGCGTACTGCGAAAATCATCCAAGTCCCAAAAAGAAGTTTCCAAGAAAAACGGATTTTTATTTTTTGGAGTCAGTGAACAATCCAGTTGAAATAAAATAAATATGTTTTACATTTTTTTTCATTTCTTTGTGTACTGAGAGAGATGTGGGATAGTAAAAAACACAATATTCAAAGAAAAAAATTTAATATGCAAAGAAATAAGAATTACAACTCAAAAAATGTGGACTTAGTGGATTTTCACAGTACGCCCACGATATCTTATCTATATCTTTGACATAAACAATATAGATTCTATGATGTTTATGGTCTATGGTTAAATAACTAATGTAGCATAGGCAACCCAGATAGCACGTAATTTTTATTTATAATTATCATTCGAATCGAAAGGCACATGGATGCAAACGTGTGCTAACAACATATTGAAAAACGTTATTATAACAAACAACTTTTCGAATTTTCTCAGAATTCCTTTGAATTCCATTGACCCACAAACAGCTGATATGTGTCAAAATGGCGATGTCTATTGACATTTGTTGAAAAAGAAAACAAAGCCTATTTAAATAGGATAATGTTTTGAATTGAGATCTAAATTAGTAGAGTTTAATATTAGTACATGTGCATTGCAACGCGTGATATCATGGACGGAATGTTCGAGGCTTATTTAGACGCTTCCTTAGATCCAGATGATATACCAAAAACCAACCAAACGGTTTGGATACTGGGCAAAAGCTACCACGCCACGAAAGATCTCAAAGAAATCCGAAAAGACATTAGTTCGAAATTATGGTTTACATACAGGAAGTGTTTTGTTCCAATCGGAGGCGATAATGGGTTAACCACAGACAGAGGCTGGGGCTGTATGTTACGCTGCGGCCAGATGGTGTTAGCACAAGCAATAATGGTCTCACAACTAGGCAGAGATTGGCTCTGGGACAAAAGAACAAAAGATCAAACCTACCTAAAAATAGTACACAAATTTGAGGAGAATAAAAGCTCACCCTATTCAATACACCAAATTGCTTTGACAGGGGAATCCGAAGGAAAATGTGTGGGCGAGTGGTTTGGACCCAACACTGTAGCACAAGTTTTAAAGTAAATAAATACAATTGTTTTGGTTTAAATAATAATGTTTAATTGCAGAAAATTACAAAAATATGATGACAGCAATATAAGGATACATGTAGCTCTAGATAGTGTCGTTGTTATTAGTGAAATAAGTAAGTAACATCAAACTTTTGACAGTTAGATAACCTTATTATTTTTAGAGGATTCTCAATGCCCCTGCAACAAAACCACTCAACTAAGAACCCAATGGACTCCACTGCTATTAATAGTGCCTTTAAGATTAGGTTTAACAAATGTTAATCCAATTTATTTAGAAAGTTTAAAGGTAAGCTATGAAACAACCTATGCATAGTAAAAAATGTGTTTCAAAACTGCCCAGATTGGGTAACAAAAAGTGATTTTTTTTTAAATTTCATAAATAAATATTGTTAATTTTTAAGTAAAATTTATTCTATTTGATTTTATTTAAATTAATTAGGTACTACTTAATTAATTAATGTAAATTTAAATATACTTAATTTAATTGGGAACCAGTGGGGATAAAACTGTTTGGCAGATGTCAGATTGGGAAAAAGTCAGGTTAAAAGAGCTGTCAAATCTTAGATAAATTGTCAAACAAATTGACTGAAAATACTTTACGTCAGGCGTAGAAAATTCGTCCAAAAACTTCATTTTGAAGGAGAGATTTTCATCTATACATTGTCATAGAATATTTTGTGGGTTTCATGGAAATTAAGCTTTAAAAAACAATGCAGATAAAAATTTCGCGTGTCAAATCTTTAAACTTCTCTCCTTCAAAATTCTGAGTTTCAAAATTTTAAACTTCTCCTTCAAAATCTGGTTCCATGATATGCATTTTTCTTTATAAAAATAAGAAAATAAATTTTTTCTTTAAAATTGTTTAAAATTTGAAGGATTTTTTATATTTCTTTTTAAAATTTCTGGTTATGAGAAAAATATTTTATTTAATATTTATTATTATTGTAAAATATTATTCTAAATGACTTCAACAATGACTAACAATCTATGAGAATATATATTTTTTTTTATTTTTTTACAAAGAAAAAGATAAAATAGGTATTTTTGATTTCTTAGAAAAATGTATACATATGTTAATTTCACATTTAAATATATCTTAATTTTATATTTAAAAACTTTATTTAAATCTATAACAGATTACTCTGTGTTTTCTATGGATAGCCTTGCAAAACACTTACAAGCCATTTTTTTTACTTTTTAATAATATTGTTATTAAAATTAAAAAATAATATATTTTTATGACTTTAATTAACTTTTTTATTGTAAACAAAAGCTGTGTTCTTTCTATAAAATAATAGGCTTGATAAAATCTAATAAGTATCAGAAAATTAAAAAAAATAATTTTAAAGTTTAAATTACCCAGGGGCGTAGGCAGGGTTTTTTTTGGGGGGTTTGAACCCCTCCAAATATAAGAAACAGTTGTGTTTTGAATTTTTTTTATAAATCCTAACAAGCTTATGATTTTATAGTGAGATCTTTATAGTTTCATTTTACTTCATAGAACTGTCAAGCAGTTGAAGTTAAGAAACAAAATGGGTGTTGAGTAAATTTTCAAGATATCGCACACCCAATTTTGTTTTTATTTCATTTCAGAAATGTTTTGAATTCAAACAAAGCGTCGGCGTGATAGGCGGCAAACCGAACTTGGCCCTCTACTTTATCGGTTATGTGGGTGACGAAGTAATCTACCTCGACCCTCACACAACGCAGCCATCTGGTTTTGTTGAATTTAAACAAACCGACGCGAATTGTCGAACCGACGCCACCTACCACATAAAATATGCGTCCAGAATGAGCATGTTGGCGATGGACCCGTCTGTAGCCGTGGTAAGTTTTCAGAGGTGGGGCAGCGCGTAGAGCGGCGAAATTTTGCACTTTTGTCCAACATGAAATTTAACAGTTGCACGGCAAAAATTATTCTTACTTTTGTAGTGTTTTTTCTGCAAAACCGAAGTGGAATTCTTTGATCTTTGCCGGTTAATAAAGTTGGAGGTGATAGACAGTTCGAGTTCGCCATTATTCGAACTAGCGTATGAGAAGCCAAAGGAATGGGTACCTCAAGAAGGAAGTTCAAAGAAAGGTACTTATGTTTTTTTCGACATTATGGTTTCTTATACAAACCGTGGTTTAAAATAAAATTCTAGGTAGTGTTACACCTGATTCAAGAAACTGTTGTATGTGTGATGTTGTACCTATTGTATATGATTAAGTTATATGAAAGGTATTCCCCAAAATTCCCTAATTTGTTTATCTTATTTTTAATAATTTTTAATAGATACATCATTGTTTTAGATTTGGATTTGGCGTCAAGAAATTTCGACTCAGACCACGAATTTGAGATACTTTAATGTTCTGCGGATAATACATATAAATTGTGCAAAGTTATGTAATTTTCTAAAAACTAATTAAATAAAAATGTTACGTTCTTCAAGCATTTAAAAATTAATACTGTATATACTCTTTGTACTAAGCTTGATTATTAAGTTATAAAGCATCTTCCATTTTTAATTTTTATATGTGTTTATTTAAGATTTATTCTTAAAATGAAAGGCTAAGAGACTTATTTAAGTTTAATAAATAAAAGTCGAATCAACTTTAATTTATTTATTTTGTACAGCAAATAACAAACCTCAATGCACTGCTTGTCAAAATTAACTCTAAAACGCCATTACCAATCTTTATGAAATTTTGTATAAAAATACTTCAACTTATATCTCAGTTTACGTTCGAGGGTTTTTCGAGAAAATATTTTTAAAGCCCTTTTATTTAATAATAAAAAAACGTTAAAAAAATAACTTTTAGAGAATTTTTTTAAGTAAATAAAAAATGTTCTGTTAAAGACCGTATTTTTGTTAGTATACCCTGAAAATTTTGTACAAATCAAACGAACAGTAACGAAGATACAGCGCTTCAAAGTCGGTAAAAATGACCCCCTTTTTGATTATTTTGCTGAAAAGTGGTAATTTTTGACGTCTTTTAGGCTCTGTATTTTCGTTACTGTTCGTTTGATTTGTACAACATTTTCAGGGTATACTTACAAAAATACAGTCTTTCACAGCATATTTTTTATTTACTTAACAAAAATTCCCTATAAAAGTTTTTTATTATTAAATAAAAGGGCTTTATGGATATTTTTATCCAAAATTCTTTTAAAGATTGGTAAAGACGTTTTTAGAGTTTTTTTTAGTTATGCGTTAATTTTTACACGCAGTGTATATTAAATAAATAATAATTACCGTTATACCTACAAATCCAGAGGGCCTTTGTAATGGGATTGTTTTATTTATTTTTTTAACAATTGTTTAAAGGGTAAAATAAAAACCATGTGGTGTACAACTTCTTATATTAATAAAAATAAATATGAGTATAACAACAGTTCTCTATATAAAATCTATAAAAATATCTTTAAAAAAAATCTTAAATCTAACTTCTGGAATCTAAGCTTTGTTTTCTCTTTGTGATTCTTTCACATTTTAAACAATCGACTTCAGCCTTCCAACACTTTGAATGGTAACAACTACCACATTTGCTGCACCTTCGCACTATACGCATTTGCCAGGGGAAAATTATCTCCTCAGAGTTGCAAATTTCGCATATAAAACCTCTGGCAGTACAAATCTAAAATATTTTAATAAAAATATTAAGACCCAAGGTTGTTTGCAATGTTGCCATGTCTTACCTTGCACTCTGAAGTGTGTCTACAGCACAACTCAACTAACAATTTTAATTTATTTTTCAACTCTCCACTTTTAATATGAACCAAGTCCTCTATTGAGTAAACTTCGGGATCATTTAACAAATAAAATTTTAATTCCTGTTCAAATCGTTCTTGAATACTGCAAAAAATGTTTTAATATACAATAAATGTTTTTAGAATATTTACACTTACGTTTCTGCATATTTACAGGTAAATACGAAATCTTTTAAGTAAAATAGTCCTAGTCTTAACTTCCTACATATCTGGAGATTCTTTGAAAGCTTCAAAATATTTTTGTTTAATTCGAAAATTCGGAATAAGGGGTCGGCGAACATCTGCTCTAAGAGTCTGTAGGAAAATGTGGAAACGGGATACCTTCAAAATAAATTGTTGATTTAAAAAAAATACTTGTAAGGATTTGTTTCTTACCTTGTAAAGTCCCACTTTTGCAAAATCCTGCCGGGAATCAAAGCGAGCTGATTAGTGTGACACTGAGTACAAAAATACCGCCCCAAATAATCGCAATACCGGAAACGCGATGCGTACTGCGGTGCCACCTTCATGCTACACCCTGCACATCGGTAATTTTGCTTGTGCATCAAATCCTTCCTCCTGAAATGTTTCTATTTTTGGTAAAAATCACAAACAAAAATTAGATTTCTTACGATGGAGCAGTATGTTTGGTGAATATTATTTGCGGTCTAGGGGGGGCCCATTCCTGCGTGCCCCTTAAAGGTGTGGTGCTGCTGGACTGCGGACCGTCGTCGGGGCTTATGGGCCAACTTTTTGGCATTGGTAAGAGAGCTTGGGGTGCGTCTTGCTCCGAAACTAGCCATTCTAGCTCAGAGGCTCTACAAATAGTACAAAAATGATACAATTTTGAGATGAAAGCCTTAAAATTTCGAAATGTATTTTGGAAATTTTATATTTAATACCAAAAAAATCCTCGATAATTTTTTTAAATGCCTAGCAATGATGATAAAATCGCAATAAAAAATTAGCAACAAAACCATTTTTCAAAACTCTATAAAAAAAGTCTAAATTTTATGTAATACAAATGGGGTCTTTCTATCTCAAATCAACCAGGCAAAAAGGGGTTGGTCGTTATTTTTCAACAATTTTTTTTTTCAGTTTCTCTACCGAAATTGATGAGACCTGTATTTTTTTCTTTTTGCTTAAATTTGTTTTGTTCACTCGTAGAAAATGTTTGAAAAATGGACAGAAACATCGATTTTTTTGTCTTTTTACGAGTGACATTTTTTCTTGAAAATGCGCCAAAAATGTTTCGATCGTTACAATTTTGTTTTAAATTGTAGGTAATACAATGTAGGTACTACATAAAAAAAAATATATAAAATTAAGTGAATTCACTCAATTTTTTAATCGTTTTTTCTAAAAAAAAAGGGAAAGAAATTGATTTTTTTTATTTCATATTTTTTTCTTTTAAAGCTGATAATAAGAACAACTTTCACCAAAAGTCCCGAGTTCAGAATTATAATTGTTTAATGAAAATGCCATTTTCTAGTAAATTCGTGGTTCATCGCAAAAATTTGGTATTTTATCTAGGGTCATGAAACTGGGGTGACCAATATGAATTGTAATTTAGAACTCAGAACATATATAACATATTTTTGTCACTACTGGTTTCAACGGAAATGGTCTTAAGTAAGTAAATTAAATTAAGTTAGAGTAAAATATAAATTCTTAATATTTTTGCATGTGTAACTTTTAAAAGATGTAAAAAGTATACGTAAGTTAATTTTGGTTAAAATAATAAAAAGTAAGTACACAAAAAACGCGATTTCAAAGAAAGGTAGAACACAAACAATTCCGAAAAATTTTGGTCCGTTAACAGATATGAGAAACTTTTTGATAGAAAAGGAAATAAGTATTAAGCCTAAGAGCGCAGGTTGATTATGTTTAGAAACAACAAATTTTCATTTGGTTTCATATTTCGTTTTTTATTTATTGCACGAGATTTCCTATAATGGCCACACTATGAGGCGGTTAGATATAACTCTTTATCGATTATAAGCGTTTCAAAATATTATAAACATTTTATTTAGTAGTAATATCTGATACTTATTTTAAGGTTTAAAAGCCTTCTTAATTTATTTACTTCTGTACACACTTTAAAACTTAATAAACACACAGAGTTTGAAAGCAATAATATTTAAAAATGCATTCTTATTTTTAAAAAATTTAAAAAAAGTTGATTTCTATTATTACCAACGAACCACACTCTTTTATTTAAAAAAATTGTTGGCATAAAGCATGGGTTTTCAATTTTAAAAGCTCCTAAAAACCAGCATTGCAAAAAAAAAATAAAATTGTATTTTTTCCAGACTACTTGACCCAACATGAAGCAGAAAAGCCAATTCAAGGCACTTCAGATATAAAAATAAAATGTAAACAAAAAATGATTTGACCTGTCAAAAATTCACAAATGACATGTGTTCAGAATTTTATTTTTAATCGAAATATGTAAAAATGCATAGGGTGTTTCATTAAAAAATAAAAAGTTAAGAGCATTTCCGGTTAAACCGGAAGTGATAAAAATATGTTAAAAAGGTCTAAATTACACTAGATAAAATACCAAAGTTTTGCAAAGAACCACGAATTAACTACACAGCGTGTCAAAATTAACGCATAACAAGTAAAAAAATCCAACTCTAAAACGCCTTTACCAATCTTTATAAAATTTTGGATAAAAATACTTTAACTTATATCTCAGTTTACGTTTTCAAGGGTTTGGGGCCGTTCATTAATTACGTGAGGTGTTTAGGGGGGGGGGAGGGGGTCGAGCCAAACCTCACCAAATCTCACGTGGGGGGAGGGGGGGGTCTTGGCAAATATCACGTACTTTTTTTTTTCGAAAGAAAGAGTGTAAAATTGCGAGAAAACTGGGTTAAATTAAGTAAACAATTATAAGCAAATTGTTTTTTTTTAATAAATCTAATGGAATCAAGCACAGATTAACTTATTTACATTAAAACCATGCATTTTAAAAAATCTCACGTGAGATTAAGGGGGGGAGAGGGGGTCGAGCAAAATCTCACGACATCTCACCAAGGGGAGGGGGGGGGTAAAAAAATCGCCAAAATTGTCTCACGTAATTAATGAACGGCCCCTTTTTCGAGAAAATATCCTTAAAGCTTTCGCTCGAAAAAAAACTTTTATAGGGAAATTTTTTTTGAAGTAAATAAAAAATATCCTGTGAAAGACCGTATTTTTGTTAGTAAACCCTGAAAATGTTGTAAAAATCAAACGAACAGTAACGAAAATACAGCGCTTCAAAGTCGTCAAAAATGCAAAATAATCAAAAAGGGGTAATTTTTACCGACTTTGAAGCGCTGTATCTTTGTTACTGTTCGTTTAATTTGTACAAAATTTTTAGGGTATCCTAACAAAAATACGGTCTTTAACACCATATTTTTAATTTACTTAAAAAAATTATCTAAAAGTTATTTTTAGAACGTTTTTTTATTATTTAATTAAAGGGCTTTAAAAATATTTTTTGAAAAACCCTCGAACACGTAAATTTAAGATGAAGTATTTTTATACAAAATTTCATAAAGATTGGTAGGTAAAGGCTTTTAGAGTTAAATTTTTTTTACTTATTATGCGTTAATTTTGACGGGTAGTATAGGGGATATTCATTAAAAAATAATTCCCAAACGATGAATTTGGCCAACTCTGGACTTTTGGAGAAAGTTGTTCATAAAAAAATATGAAGTAAAAAAAATGTGGCAATGCCAATTTTTTTTTTGCTTTTTTAGAAAAAACTATTTAAAAAAAAACATGAGTGAATTTACTTAATTTTTTTGTATGTAGTAAACATTTACCAACAATTTAAAAAAACGATCGAAACATTTTTGGCCACGTTATCGCATTTTCAAGAAAAATTTCACTCGTAAAAAGAGAAAAATCAATGTTTTTGTCCATTTTTTTTTAATTTACTACGGGTGAACAAAAAAATGTAAGCAAAAAAACAGGTCTCATCGATTTCGGTTAGTGTTGCAAAAGGAAGGAAAAGTTCGGTCGAAAAGTTGGAAAAGTTGTTGGAAAAGTTCGGCACCCCCTATGAAAAGTTGGAAAAGTTATTAGGTAGGAGCCAATGAACAATGAGTTGACTTGTAACCAGTGTTTCCACAATTTTTTTTCGGTAGATAATTTGGTCAAAATTCGATATAAATCGCTAGATTTGAAGTGTTTTTTCTGTCAAACTTTATCAAAATGGTGTCTGCTAACAGCATTTTCTATTATGTAAAGATTGTTTTTATTTTTAAATTTTTACTTGTAAATTTCCATAATTTTTAATAACAATAAATTTAATAATTTTTGCTTCATATTTTTTTGTTATTATTTTTTATTTCGTATGTGTTTTTTTATGGTGTGTATAAATTTCTATTCTTTTTTACTTAAAAAATATGATTTTTTTAACTCAAACCTAGTTTATTTTTGTTGTGATTATGTTGTCTGTTCATTTTATTTTGTTTGTTATTTTTTTTTATATTTTGTTATAAAACAACTTGTTACGTATGTATAAATACATAAGAAATAAATTATTTTAATACATTGACAAGCATTATTTATGTTTTATACGTTTACATTACAAAAAACTCAACTTTTCCATCTTTTCCAACTTTTCCGAACTTTTCCGAAAAATAAAACCCAACTTTTCAAAAATTTCAACTTTTCATGAAAAGTTGCAACCCTAATTTCGGTAGAGAAACTGTAAAAAAATGTTAAAAAATAACGACCTACCCCTTTTTGCCTGATCTATTTGGGATGGAAAGTTTCAAATGTAAAAATATGCAAAATCAAATAATAAATGTTAAAATGCCAACTGAAAAACAAAATATTGAAAACTTACAAACTGCTTTCAGTATTTACCTTGGTAACTGCTTGGCGCTGAACTTGCTGATCAAGGACAGCGCGACTCCCTCTGCCGACAGGACGTCCGAGGCGCCGTCGGGCGCGCCGCGCGGTCGTTTCGACAGATCGGCCTCGGAATAGAGGGAGGCCATGGACATCGACAGTCCGCTGTTCTCGATCAGGTTCGAGGCCTGGTCGATTTCGTAGTCATCCACGTCGTCGGAACTCGAGTAATCGGATAGAGAGTCGGGAGTAGTAGAGTTCGGGCTTACGCTTGTCGTAGCTACGATTAAAAGTAATCATACTTAATAACAAAATAACAGTTCAAATAAGTAGTCCAGTCAAACCGAGGTGAAAATGGCCTGAGCAATTTTTTACAATGATATACGCAAAAATACATGTTTTTAGTTTTTAGCGAATATCTCGGCCCCTGTATATTGCACAATAAAAAGTAAAAGAGCAAAATTTTTTTTTTTAAATTTCCAACAATTTTTGTCCCAAGTATTTTTTGTTCAAACAAATGACTAAAAAATATGGTTAGTTAAAATTAAAAATTTGTAGATCAAACATATCTCTTTGTCATAGTCAATAACAATCTATCCTAAGTTTAAACATATTTTCCTGAAAGAAAATTTTTAAACTGCAAAACATTTTAACCCGTCCTTATTAATCAATGGAAATAATTTACAAAATTTTTAATTTAAGAAACTACCGAGGAAACTACTTATTAGTATAGGTAAACAAAAAACACTTAAGACAAAAAAATAAAGGAAATTTTATAAAAAATAATCTGAATTTTTACTTTTTATTGTGCAGTATACGGGGGCCAAGATATTTACTAAAAACTGAAAAAATTATTTTGAAGTATAACTTTGTAAGAAAAAATTGTCAGGTTATGCAAATTTGATTTTATGCTTTTCAAATAACTCCCTATCAATTCATAAAAAAACAGACAGTGCCTCAACACTCAAGGTCAATCGACGGTTTGACTGGACTAAAGTAACTGGTTGATGCATTTTTGTAGGAAAAACTTTCAATCATCATCATTTTGTTATTAGAAAGTGATAATAAAAATAAAATTCAATTTTAAAAACATTATAATGTTGCGTAAAGTATAAAAACAAAAATAATTAGTTTTTGAGTTGTACTTATAAGTACAACTCAAAAACTAATTATTTTTGTTTTTATACTTTACGCAACACCTTATATTTTTATAATTTTTTTGATAGCTGAATCATATTTTATCACTCCTTAGCATTAAGCAGTTGTAAACAGTAATTTTTGCAATACATATTATGGTACCTTAGAATGACAAGGTTCTAGGTGCAGTTGCCATGTTAAACAAAAATGCCTTATCTGCAATATTTAATATCGTAGATAAAGTTACTTTCGCTTAACAGTGCAGCTGCACTTAGAACCTTGTCATTCTAAGGTACCGATTAGTAATTGTTGTTATCAGTAAAAAAGCGGTTGTTACTTTAATATTCCCTTTTTCTGTATTTCATTATTTATTCAGTTTGTTTAAAATATAAAATATATTATATTCTATAAGTCTAAAGCCAATTTTTAGGATTTTACAAAAAATTAAACCTATATACAGGGTGTTAGTATGTCCAATAAATTTAACAGACGATTCTTTAAGCCAAAAAGTTCATATTAACATGGGTACCCAAATTCTTCGTTTTCAAGATACAGGGTGTTCAACTTTTTTTGGTTTTTCGTAAATATCTTTATAATCCTTTACAAAATTCTGTTGTAACTAGGCAGTGTTATTTGTAGTGTTAAGGGGCTAATTTAGCATTAATTTAAATGAAACTAATAAATCCAGTGGCGTCCCGAGCAACACAACAAATATTTTTGACAAAAAAATGTACAGGGTGATCCCCTATAATGTCGCCCCCCTTTAACTTTTTTATTTTAAGTGTCAAAATTTAAAAGTGTGGTTATGTAGGTACTAAAAAATACTTTTTTTTCTACGTATAAAAAAATGGAAAATTGATCAATATACAGGGAAAAACAAAAAGATTATTTTTTTCAATGGATCACCCTATATATGCATTTATTTTTCGATTCCTTGTAAAATTCTGAGCATAATTCATATAACAAACCATATACCTAAATTCAAATGTTTCTAAAATATTCGAATTTGAAATGTTATCATTAAATGTTTTTTTAAACTGTTAAAAATCAAGAAGCCTCAGTATACCAAAATTTTTATTGAAAATAAATTACTATAGTGACATTATGTCAAAATGTCTTGTTAAATAAGTAAAAATGGCGTACTCAGACAGAGAAAGACAAACTATTTCAACTTATTATCTTAAAAATAATTTAAATATTTCAGAAACGGTTGAATTTAGGTATATGGTATGTTATCACAAAACTAGTTTTTTGTATGTTATATGAAATATGCTTAGAATTTTACAAGGAATCGAAAAATAAATACATATATAGGGTGATCCATTGAAAAAAAATAAACTTTTTGTTTTTCTCTGTATACTGATCAATTTTCTTTATACGTAGAAAAAAAGTATTTTTTAGTACCTACATAACCACACTTTTAAATTTTTTGGGACACTTAAAATAAAAAAGTTAAAGGGGGCGACATTATAGGGGATCACCCTGTACGCCTCTTGAGTTTTTTTTAATTTTTATATTTTTATCGGATTAAGCAATTAAAAATACAACTTTTTGTCTCCTTAATTTTGTTTTCGAAAAAAAATCAAACTTAATTGCATATCTTGTGTGGTCGAGGGATATGCAATTAAGTAGATTTTATTTTTTTCTCTGAAAAACTAAGCAAATAATCGTCTGTTAAATTTATTGTACAAATTTAAGTAACACTCTGTATGTGGAATGAGTCCACGCCAAATCGACTACTTTTAATTAGTATTAAATTTTAAAACTTAAAACGTTTCTGCACTTTTAAAAAAACAATTTACCTAACCAAAAAAGTCACAATTGTTTTTTTAAATGCTTATAACATTTTAAAAACCCACTTAAAACGTTTCTGCACATTTAAAAAAACAATTTACCCAACCAAAAAAGTCACAATTGTTTTTTTAAATGCTCATAACATTTTAAAAATTGACTAAGTGACGCTTTCTTATTTATTTTTTTCTTTTTAAACGTACTTTTTATATAAAAATACAAACAAAATATTTAAAGCCATTAATTTATTTAGCGTTTAATGGCGCAAATCCAATAGTGGCCCAAATCCAATAGTGGGCAGGGACCCGGACGGAAACCGAAAAAAACCGAAAACCGGAACGGAACCGGTTTTTTTTTCCGAACCGAAACCGGAACCGTTTTCGCTTTTGATAAAATCTGTTGGACCGGAACCGAAACCTTTATTTGCTTTCATTCTAATAACATTATATAACATATATATATATACCTATATATGTGAGGTTATAAATTAAAATTACGTAAAACAAATAACCTCACTGGAACCGCTTAAAACCGAAAAGAACCGAACCGTTATAACTCCAGGAAACCGAAACCGGAATCGGAACCATTAAAACGAAAATAGGGTGAACCAGAACCGTACCGGAACCGATATTTCATTTCGGTCCGGGTCCCTATTAGTGGGTCAACGTTTCTTTCTACTAGATATTTTTAATTAAAAAAATTTTCCCTCCAGCGTCACGAGATGTATGGACGACCCCTAACTAACCGTCTTCTGCGCATGAGCGCTCAAGTGTCGGAACAAACCCGAAAAAACAAAAATCCCACTTACTGTCAGTCCTGCCATCGCTCAAAACGGACCCGGGAACAAACCGCGACTTCTCCACCATCTTCTGCCGCCTCCTCAGCCGGATCCTCTGCTTCAAATCGAAAATCTCCGGATCGCTGTCATCCATCTCGTTCTCGTCCACCAATTTTAAGTCTTTCTTGCACTTAATCTGCTCCATGGCGGAGATGATCGCCTCAGAGATCTTGAAGTGCGCATTTTCCCTGTCCAATTCGGCGTTGGCCCTGCTGAACTGACTCGACGTCAGGAACGAGGTTAAAGTTTGCCCCTTAGTGGGCCTAGGAAAGAACCCCGTCGCCATTGGCAGCACGCTCATCCCGCCGTCTTCGATGAACGATTTTTTTGGTTTCTTGCGGTAGTCTTTTTCGCCGGCCAACGGTAGAAAACCGTCGACTATGCTAAGCGGCGACGTTGCCAAATGCACCGGACTCTTTTCTTTCAAAGTTATGTCGACATTGCCGCTGCTTTGAGAGCTGCTGAGAGTCTGTTTATGCTCAATTATGTCTTGGTTGTTAATTAATACGTGTTTTATTTTTTTTAAGGGTCGTTTAATAGGTTTCTTAGCTTTAGCTTGTAATATACTGTAATCCACTTTAATCATACTTGGGGATATTTTTTTGGTATGCACTGGGGTGGAAGGGGTGGTTTTACTCACTGAATTCACTCGGTATAAATCTTTTAATTTAATATTATCGTTAATTAACAACGGTAAGCTATTCCAAGGTTTTAATTTACCTAGTACACTTTCCTTAATAACTTTCTTGTTTGACTTGTTAAAATCAAACGATTTACTCCTCTTTTTGTTATCCCAAATGATTTTTGAGTGATTATCTGGGAATGAAGAGCACCTTCGGTGTACTTTATGGTATTCTCTACCAGGGCTTTTTATCACAAACAAATTGGGGTTAATCTCAGATATCAGACTAACCTGGTTGTGTTCAATGGCTCTCAAACAAACAATCGTAGCTTCAGCATAACTATCTTGACACAAAAACGCGTAGGACTGATAGCAAGCCAACAAATGCGTTTTGTCACTCAATAACCATGATAACTTCTGAGATAGTGAGTGGTTTTCAATGCTTCGATAAAGCCAAATTGAAGATTTATCGTTCTTTAAATGGTGAGGGATGTAGGACTCATACTCACAGTCAACAGAAAAATAGGACTTTGAGTGCTCAGGCTGCAACCATTCCAAACCTTGGATGAAGTTCAGATAATCACCGTCCTAAAACAAACAAACATCAATAAATTAATCATGTCTTGGGGAATAAAACAACGCACTTCTTCTTGACTCTTGACCCCGTGTTTAAATATTTTTTCCAGTGAATTGTGCAGCCTGCTGAGGCCGCCATAAATAGACCAAACATTCGCGACTTGCGTCACCAACAAACTTTCAACCGTATTTTTCAAGTCAAACAACAACTGCTGGTGCTTTACGGTGTATTCGGGCATAATTAACCGGAATCGCACTAAAACAGTCCCTCGTCATTGATAATTTCGCTATTTTTAAGCGTTATCAGAAGTAAACAGCGAACCAAACGCCCCCGATCAGCTGATAAGCGTCAAACAACTGTCAACTGTCATGAATTTCACAAAACATCTTAACTGCACTGTGCGAGTTTAAAGCAATAAAACGAAAGTGAATTGCACGAAACGCTTAATTATATTTTGAATATAAGAATATCTTGATAAACAAACGCAATAATTAAAAAAATATTTGTTTCGCTATTTGGACACTCCTGATTTATAACGCCATCTAGTTGTGAGAAACATATTCAAATAACGGTATTTAAACATAGGCAAACCATATAACACGACTTGGCCAGTGCCATCTATAATTAACAAACACAAAACAAATCAAACACTATTTTGTACCAAAAAAGTTTTAAAGGCTCACCTATAATTTCACAGTAAAAAATTACAATTTATAGCAATTTTCACTTGGTAATTGAAGCGTTTATCATAAAAGTACATAATTTATGCAGTATTGCGAATTATACCTGTTTTTGTTGAGGTATTTTTGATTGTTTATGATCCCATGCAATTAAAAGAGCAAGAAATTATTTAATTTACCTGGATTTATTCCTTAATGTGATGTTTAGGAATTAAAACTTACTTAATAGTAAGGCTTGATTTGCATTAAGAATTTTATTGGTTTGGGTTTTAAAATAAAAGGGTTGTTTTTAAATATTTATGTATAACATGTATTGTTTGAATATATCATAGAAATAATAGTATTATTTCTATGGAATATATAAGTTAATATATACATATATAGAATCAATATGGTACAATATGTATATAATATATAAAAATAGACATATAAATATACTACCAATTTCACAACAATGATATGCATACAGTAAAAGCATTACATTGACAATAAAAAATATTTGTTCTGTAAATAAAATATTCCTATGGTCAGACTTTGGTTCAGTCTAACATGGCATGGAGGGAAAAGTATGCAAAAAAACACATAATATAGTTGCTTAGGTCCTGAGTGGGTATATCTAGGAAAGTTTCGTTGTCTTCCTTCTTTAAAAAATAGTCAAACATGTATGACACTGAAGCAACTAGGCCGTAATAATTATCATGTAGGAATGATATTACAGTCATTGAGGCCAGGCTACAAGTTAAAATGAGGTTTGTCAGTTCGTAGGCCTTTTTGTCCACTAAAAACGTTATGAACGGAAATACAGGCGCTATAGCGTGAGCATAGGAATACTCCCATCGATAGCTATAATTTAACCATAGTGTCGTTGTGACAAATGGTAAAACAAATAAGTCTTGCATTTCTCTGGTGATTCGGAAGATTTTGTACACACTGTCTCCATATCGAGGGTTTCCTATAAAAATATTTTAACAGGTGTGTTAACTTTAATCAAACCATTTTCTTACCGTTTGTCCACAGTCCCAAAAGATTGTTAACAATAATAATCCCAAAACACCCATGTGAAAACTTTAAATCGCCTCCATAGACAGATTTAAGGCAATATGCGCCCGTTCCGGCTAAAACTAAATGAGATAGGGCCGTTGAGTATTTTCCCTCCATTCTATACACGAAAATAAATGCAAATAAACCCGTACAAACGCGAAAAACACCCGTCTTATCACAGAATTCGGAGACAGATTGCGTTTGTCATTTGAAACACAACTTTGACTTTTCCTGGCATCGTTGTACGGACAACAAATTATTTGGTTATATTTTTGTTTACAAACAACCCGTTAATTATTTATGCGGCATAAAACAAATTTAAACGCTTCAGCGTTTAATATTAATGCGAAACAATTCAAATTAACGTTATCTCGCTATGTTATCGGCATAAAATTATGTCATTTGGCAACATTCCACGCCCACCAAAACAACGTTTGGACACCCCTGACAGAAAACGTCAAAATAATCTAACCTTACTTTGGCATTATAACCTAACATTTATTATTTACGAAAAATCGTGATTTTTGTAAAAATGAGTGGATCGGAGAGAAAACGGTTGGATTACGAGAACAAGGTTATTTTGGCGCCCATGGTAAAGGTTGGCACCCTTCCAATGCGATTATTAGCCCTCGAGTATGGAGCTGATATTGTTTACTCAGAAGAGTTAATTGATTGGAAGCTTATTAAGTCCATTAGAAGAGTTAATGGTATAAAAATAAATAAACTCTATGTATATTTTATGTCATTCTTGTAGATGTGTTGGGTACAGTTGATTTCATTGATAAATCTGATGGGACGGTTATTTTTCGAACATGTGATAAGGAGAAAGATAGGGTTGTCTTACAAATAGGCACCTGCGATTCCACTAGAGCCCTCAAAGTGGCCAAAATGGTGTAGGTCTGCTTAATAAAACATTTTATTTATATAATAAATAACTTTTTATAGTGAAAATGATGTAGCTGGTATAGATATAAATATGGGTTGTCCGAAAGAATTTTCTCTTAAAGGAGGCATGGGTGCGGCCCTTTTGACAAACCCAGCACAAGCTAAGAACATTTTAACGACTCTGGTAAATAATATAAGCATTCCTGTAACATGTAAAATAAGGGTTTTCAATAATGTGGACGATACACTTCATTTAGTTAAAAATTTGGCTAATACTGGTATATCAGCCATTGGTGTTCATGGTAGGACCAAAGTAGAAAGACCTCAGCACCCTAACAGATGCGAAACTATTAAAGTTATTGCAAATGCTTTAAGTATACCTGTTATTGCCAAGTGAGTTTTTTCTAAATTTTATTTAAAAATACTGTGTATGCCTTATGGTTGGATAATAATAAAGCACTACTTTTAAATTAAACATTTTACCAGGAAAGGGCTACCAAGAGTTAAAACTAAAGTTCTGCCAACTGCTCAAACATAAAAACATTACATTTTCTGGGCCAGAAATTCTTTGTTGCCTAAAAGTCACAACCACAAGGCAACTCCAACTATTTATATTTTTTTAGTGGGGGTTCAAGGGAAATAGACAATTACCGAGACATAAAAAAATTTAAAGATCAATGTGGAGCTAGTAGTGTAATGATAGCCCGGGCTGCCGAAAGTAATTGTTCAATATTCAGAAAAGAAGGCCTTAAAAAATTGGATGATGTGATATGTGACTATTTAAAAATATGTGTGGATTATGATAACTCTCCTAATAGTACGAAATATTGTGTACAAAACATGCTAAAGGAACTACAGGAGACACCCAGAGGCAAGAAGTTTTTAGAATGTCAGACTTTGGAACAAATATGGTAAAAAAATGTCTTGAGATAACCTTGTCAACTGGACACCTTTTTATTCTCAATTTTCAATAAAATTCCTTAAAAACGATTTATTTTAGCTCAATTTGGCACCTAGGTGATTACTGTCGTCAAAAACAACTAGAATATCAATCAAAAGGCCTTTTAAGCCGCAGAGAAGTGACCCCCGACATGTTTGACCCCCACCCAAAACGTCAAAAAGTCGAAAACGATGACGTCATCAAAATAAAATGCGCCTTCATAAGAGTCAACTATTCTTCCGATCCCGAGTTGCCAAAATCAAAAATAATCGGGCATTGCCAAAAAAATAGGCTTAAAAACCCCACATACGAAACTATTAATAAGGATAAATTGTTTAGGGCAGTTTGTCATTATCAGGGCAAAAAATACAGCTCAAGTTATTGGGAAAAAAATAAAAGGTTTGCTGAGCAAGGGGCTGCCTTAGTTTGTGCTGTAAGCCTTGGTTTAATTGAAAAAGAACAGCTGGTAAAAGATGGAAGCATTTTAGAATAATAAAATCAGTTTTATTTACAAAAATTGTTTTATTTTTATGAAGGATACACTTTATTTTCTCTTATTACGACCCTGCGTGTTTAGACGTTATCTGGGTTGCCTACCTTCAAAGTTAAATGTCATCATGTTTATCTCGGAATGTCATTTAGGTATCTACGTTGTAAGTTGGATATTATCCTAAACCATGGCTATTATTTGGGTAGGTTTGTTCATATAAAACTTTAAAATTAGAATAGGTATATTTAGATAAATGGGTATTCTCACAAAGCGATGCCCAAACGTCTCACATACGAAATTATTAACGAGAAGAAATTGTTCAGGGAGGTTTGTCATTTTCAGGACAAAAAATACAGCTCGAGTTATTGGGAAAAATATGAAAGGTTTAAACCTGAATTTGCAGGATAAGATGCTGCCCTAGTTTGTGCTGTAAGCCCACGTTTGAAGAAAAACTGCTGGTAGATGAAAGTATTTAAGAATAATTTAGACGTTATATCGGTTGCCTGCGTTCAAACTTTTAAATGTTATGTTAGGTGTATACTGGGTTGGATAAGTTTGCTTATTCAAAATGGATAATCTAAGTAAATAAATTTATTGAATACCATTATGTTTATGTGCCCTTTAGGTAATTTTTATTGTTATTTTTACGTTTTTATAGTTTTATGATCCCTGTGGGGATATAAATATTGTAGAAAGTTTGCCTCTTGTTCTTAGAAAAATGAATAAATGTGTAAAAATGCAGTAAATAAAAACTTTTACCTAAATTTCACTGTAAAATTTACCTTGTCTTGTTATTAGGTTTTATTAGGTCATTTGGCTATAGAAAATGAATAATTTGACTGGGTTATAAATCAAAATAAGACCTTAAAACTTGCAATAATAATACCTACAGAGTGTAGGTAACCTAAAAATGAAGCATTATGGAACAAAGATTTATTAAAATCCTTAATTTCGTGTTTATATCAGCATCTGCCATTTAAATAAATTTATATTTATTAAGAACACATATTATAGTTGGTAATAAGCAGTGAGTGGCACATAATATACGGGGGTTCCTTTGTTATGATAATTTTTACAGGGCGAGCTTGTATTATGACATCAACACAATGTCACGTCCTATTATTGAATGCAGATAAGGCCCCTCTTCAAATTCGTTACACTATTGGTGGGGAAACGGTGCTTTGTCGCAATCTAAAGCCAATCAAATGTTACATGCACTAAATGTAAGCTTGTTGAGCGTGTTTTATTTATGCATGGATGTCCGATGTTTTTAAAAAGGTCTGGATATTTACTTCAAAACTTATTTAGGAATTTATGGATAATTAATTGTCCCTGTGTTTTAAAGCATATTTTAGAATGTCTAAAAACCAGTTAAAAACAATGTTAAAATGCCATTTTAGAATTATAAATCCATAGGTCTATACATGTTATTTTTGACGTTCTGAACATTAAAAAAATATTTCTCTTTTGGTTAGGTAGGTTCCTACATATATTTTGATATTTTTCTAAATCCTTACAAGGATTTTTAAAATTAAATTTAATTAAAAAAAATTAGTTTAAATTTACTGTATTTAGCTAGATAGGTATTTTTTAAGTAGCCTTTTTTTACTTGGGTATCGTCTACCTAATACATTTATTTGCAGTCTAAAAACAATTTAAAAAAATGTTAACTGCAACAATATCCAAGACATATTTTTGTAGCCAATTGGCTAAATTAATTTTAAGGTCTACAAAAATGATGTTTTTATTTTGTAAAACAATTCATTTAAATGATATCTGCACGGGTGATTTCCGAGCTAAAAATTTAATTAATAATAATACCTATAGGTATATAAATATATTTGATTAATCCTGCCTAAATGACTTAAAAAAATTTTACCTCTGCATTAAGATATCATTTAAATGGTTAGTTCTACGAAAAAATGTAATAGGTACGTATAACTTTTTTGTAGGGGGTGAAATTTTCAACAAAAATATGACTAGTAATAATAATAAAAATAAAAAATAATAAAAATAATATTTTGTTATTATTTGTTACATATTAATATTAGGTAATAATTATTTGTTACAGTCTAAAAACAATTTCGAAAAAAAAAATGATGGTACCTACCTATATATAACTATATATACCTATAGGTATACCTACTTTTTTAATTTTTTTAACAAAAGAAACACTCCATAACTCTTAAGAAATTTATAAATATTATAATATAATTATAATTTGTTAATTTGTTAAAAAAATTAAAAAAGTAGATATTATCATTTAGGCAGGCTTAGGTAAACGACATCGGGATTTTTTTTCAAAATTGTTTTAGACTGTAACAAATAATTAAGATAATATTCAAGAAAAAAATCAAATTTATAAAATTTTGACCTCCAAATGGGTGGTTTTACGAAAAATCGCAAAGGGAAGAGCGTACAATTTCCTACAAAAATAGGTATGTCATTAATTAGAGAGTTATGAAGTATTTCTTATGTAAAAAAAATCAAAAGTATTAAAATTTAGGCAGGGTTAAACGACATCGGAATTATTTTTTTTCGAAATTGTAAACAAATAATTTAGATAATATCCAAGTAAAAGAATCCAACTAAATGCCAAGACATTTTTTTAATATATTTTAAACTTTCACCTGCGATATGATTTAAATGGATGGTCTAGGTAAATGACATTTTTTGTAAAGCGTAAAATTCTGTCATGTGTATTGTTGTCAATTAATTAGCGAGTTATGAATTTTTTCTTATGTAATAAAAATTGTATTTACCTATATATAGGTTTACCTAAGGCAGGGTTAAACGGTAGTTTTTACTGTAACAAAATAATTTAGATGATACCTACCTATCCAACTTTTTCATGTTTATGTACCTATCTTTTTATTTTATATTATTTTAGTTTTTTTATAAAAGTACCATTTGAAGTAATATTTTTTTTTTATTTTTAAACATTATTTTTTTACATCCTCTAAAAATCGATTTTTAAACCGGAACCGCCGTTCCATCCAAAATGTCCGCCAAACTGGCACAACAAACCCATAAAAATCGTTACCGTTTGAAGTTTCATTGTGCCAATAAAAAGCAACCGTATCATTACAACCAAACATCCAAAAGAAAAAAAAAAACGATGTTATCCTCTCTCCTTGCATAGAAATATAAATAATAAAACGCACTTTAAACTAACAAAGCAGATGCATTCAAACAATACGGATTACGAGATAAATCGCATAAAACCGTGCCCGATTTCATAGGCCCTCCATCCCTGTTTGCACAGCACTCTACGCTTAATACCGAAACGCCGCGCGCTTATTGGTCGACGCACGAAATTAATCACGCCCCGATGTTGCGCCTTCTGGATAGGAGTGCGAGCAGGGTTTTTTCAGTATCAAACAAGCCGCTGTGCAGTGAACGTGTCAGTGAGTTAAAAAAACTTGTGGTTTACGTAGTTTTTAACGATTTTAAAATGCATATGAATGATCCAGCTTTGGCGAGCATGTTGCCCTTTGACACCATGGGGCTCTACGAGCAACCAAGGCCCAAATTTATTTTTAAAATGCCGCGTGTTGTGCCCGACCAAAAAGCAAAGTTTGAGAGCGACGAGCTTTTTCGTAGGCTTAGTCGCGAAGGAGAAGTAAGTACAAAAATGCACAATTTTTGACCTTGTTATTTCATAAAACTCAATTTTTTCGAAGAATTTTATAAAGATTTACAATCTATGAGTAACCGGAAATTCTTAGTTTTGCTTCACATATTTAAATATGCCTCGGCATATACTGAATATTAATTTTTTCCGACGAAGTTTGTTGTTTGACGCAATTGTTTCGTCACGTTTTTTTAAATTTAATTATCCGAATAAATCCAATTTGGATGATATTTTTAGAAAAAAGGTGAGTCATAGGTACCTACCTACCATTGTTTTTGTTTAAAACAATGATCAAACGTTTACTAGGAAATTTTAGTTATAAAAAAATGTTTATGTTTTAGAAATGTTAGGTACTTAACTACATTTTTGTATCGAAAAATGTTTAATTAGTTTAAAAGCTTAATTTTTACCTTTATTTAGTTATAGTTAATTAATTTTAATATATAATTTTTTTTAAATCCACTTTATTTGAATTTGACCTCAGAATTGCGCTATCACAGTTTTTGAAACATTTTAACCAAAAAGTAAAAAAAAAGCTCGAGCCCTACTTCTCGATCAAGATTTTTAAGTGTCGTTGGGCCCCAAGTTTATTTTTTTTCCAACATTGCCCGTTCATGGAAAATCGCTTACGAAGAGAACGAGTGGAGATTTTTTTACCAAATTTGGGGAAAGGTTACTTTGGGACGGTAATTCACTCCCTATTGAAAATGGACAGTATCCGCGGAAAACTTTTCGAGTTGCGATTATTTTTAGATTTTTTCCGAAATTTATTATCAAAATTTTGCTCAAAAACGAAGAGGAAATTAATCAAAGGGTAACAAAAATGCAGTTTAACATGCTAAAAGATAATCATTATAGGTTTGAAACAAAATGGCCGCCGGTCAAATGAATTTTTTTAGATAAAATATAAATTAGGTACCTATTTCGTTTATTTAAATACATTTGAATATTTTTTAATTCAAAAGGCAATTTTGATCCTTTGGAATTTTGAGAAATTTGTTTTTCACAAAAACAACTTTTTTTCTGTTGAGTCGTGAGTTGCTTTTTTTAAATCTTGGTAGCTCGAATACCAAAAACGGTGGAAACTCGAAATGTCTTTTTTCCGTCCATGGACCCTACTTTTGGACCAAATTTTTACGTGTCGTTAGGTCCCAAGTCCATTTTTTTCGATTTTTTATTCCAACTTTGCCCGTTCATGGAAAATCGCTTACGAAGAGAACGAGTGGAGATTTTTTGACCAAATTTGGGGAAAAGTTTCTTCGGGACGGTAATTCACTCCCTATTGAAAATGGGCCGGATCCACGGAAAACTTTTCGAGTAGCGATTTTTTTCAGACTTTTTTCTAAATTTTTTAACAACATTTTGCTCCAAAACGATAAGGAATTGGGCACACAAAAAACACTAATCAAAGGGTAAAAGAATCTTGTTTAACATTAAATATAATAAAACTAAAACAAATGGCCGCCAGCCTAATAATTTTTTTTATTAAAAAAAGTACTTAATCGGTTTAAAAAGTTCAAAAGTCGTCTTAAAATCGAATAAAAAAAATGTCAAAATATTTTCTTCTTCTGCGATTTATATCCTGAACCATGAGATTCGAAATTTGGTGCACCACCAAAAAACATTTATTTATTTGTACAAATAAAAAAATCACTGAAAACTTTTATTTTATGGTTTATTGTCTCGAAAACTTTATTTTAAGGTATTGTTTTTGAAATAATTGTGTTTGTCAATTTTCTTAATTTTCACATAAAAAAACATTCAATAATCTTGTTGCTTCTTTTCAGGTTAGATTCACAGGATTCAGAGACAGACCTCAGGACGAGCGCGTCGTGCGTTTCCAAAACAGTTGCAGGGAAGGACACACGGAAATTGCGTTTGCCGCGACCGGTACCAACTTGCAACTAATTTTTACGCCCCCCACAACCGCATACACCCCCGACAAAGAATGCGACTTCGATAAAGAACCCGGCAAGGTAAGACTCACTAAAAAGTTGTCTTTAGAACGTTTTTGATCAATTTTTGCTCTAATAGAGTAAATATTACCCTAAATATTACCATAAATGTGATATTTGGACATGCATTTTATTTTTTGAAATATTTCATACTGATAGGTAAATGACATTTTCTGATGTATTTTATAAAAAAACACAGTTAAGACACAGTTTTTGTAATTTTTTACGTCAAAAGTATACCTATTTCCAAAAAATACATCAAGAACAATTCTCGGTACTGGGACCATTTTTTGATGATTCTATTCGAGGAAATAGATCTGCTGATACATGAAAAATGCAGCTTGATTTAGGCCACTTCCGCCGACCTTTTGTCCAGCTAATTTGCGCAATAAATTCACCTTTTGTGTCCAAATAACACTCAAACGTGATTTTATTCTTAACAAGCGTGAAACTGCCTAAATTCTATGGATTAATAGTTCTAAACAAGGTGTCACCAACACATTTGCTAACAATTCGAGTAAATAGCATTATTTGGGAAGTTTTACAACGTTTAGGGGGAAGTTGGAAATAAAATCCAAAATGGCGCACTTCGACGTCGATATAAAAGGACCAATGAAACGCCGGCGTCTATATTGATCCGCCGCGACGCCATGCTACTTTCAGCGCGCTGTTTTGGCCTTTTCAGCAGTTCAAAGTTTTTGTCTATTTTGTCTTATTAACTTCACCGTAAAGTCATTTTAAAAAAAAATACATTTTTTTTTTGAAAAAATATTCTCAATTCCTTTATCAAGAAGAAACTAATTTTTGGTCACAAATCTAAACCTTGAGGAACACCATGGTTTTCAACTAAACCATTGCGTGCGTGAAATCATCAAGCTCATGTCAGCTATCGCCATATGGGTGAGATGCGTTTATTTAAACTTCTTTATTTTCGATATGCTTAGCACACGGTTTTTGTGTACGGCTAATTAGCCCCGCCAGTTCTACCAACCATCCGTTAAGAACACCCTGAACCCGGCAATTATTTATTATTATAAGGTTCAGGACGATTATCGATTTCGGTCATTTTCTGCCAGTTAAGTTTTATGGAAAGAATGAGAATTATTGAATTAAATTGGGAGGAATTATGTGAAATTATATCAAAATGTATGTTTCTTCTATACAGGTGTCCGTTTTTCAATGCTACGCATGGGTACTAGGGTGTTTAAAAAAAGCGAATTGGTTTTTTTTCTTGCAAACCGGCTCAAAAATTTCGTTTGGGTATAAAAATAAGCCTGTGAAAATATGAGCTCTTAATTCTGTTCGATTTTCCATAAGAATAACATGGAACATTTTTTTGTGTTTCTTCTGATTTTGGTAACTCACCAACCAAAGGAAAATGTGTTCGGGTTTTTATAAACACCCAAATGGGTACCTATTTCGCTTTTCTTATCTCGGAAATTTTGAAAGCCAGAAAAATATATTGTCAGATTTGAATTTCCCTTGAAAAGGATTCATTCTAATACAGAGTGTCCCAAAATTGGCAGGTGAAGGCAAATTACTCTTGAAATTCCAACACGAATTTTCTTTTACCATTTTTTAAAATCGCTAAACTACAGAAGTTATTTAACTTTTAAAGCCGCCAATGAGAGGGCATCGTGTTTATTCAAATGCAGGTAGGCAACCCATATTACAAATATGTAATACTACTTGTCCAAAGGAAAATTAAAGTCAAATGAACAACTTTGGGCGCCAAATTATAAAACAAAACTCTCGGCCGTATGGTTCGATAATCGGCTTTGCACAATAAAGTGCGGCTCTTCAAACGAACACATTGTATATAATAAAGCTGTTGTTTATTGTATCTCTGCCATAGCCCGGTCTTTATAAATAACGATTAAACTGTTTTATTGACGCGTAGGCGCCTTAAAAACCGAGCCACGTTAACTTTTTAGTCGTACCTATTCCATCTCTCTAAATAATCGGTGGTTTAGTCTTAACAATTGTTTGTTTTTAGACTTTTACTACCCATCGTTCGTCTCTTTGATACTGGATACTGAAGGTTTTATTAATGTTTAAACATTTAAAAAGAACAATCTTTCCAATCCAAACAAAAATCTCACAACTGAATATTAATAAAAAAGTGCTCTTTTAGTTCCACCCTTACTTCCTATAGGAAGTTCCAGAAGCGAACTGAATGGCTTGAGCAGGTTAGGGGTAGGAACGGACCGCAGGCTTAGGGTCCTCTCCGAAGGACTAATACACAATAGGAAAAACACAAAAAAGGTAGAAAAAACGCGCTACGAAATGATTTTTTTTTCACAAGAAAAACGTTGTCTGTGAGTCGCTTTTTTTAATCCTGATAGCTAGAATACCGATAAAGGTGGAAACTCAAAATATTTACTCTTTTTTTTCCGTCCACGAGCCCTACTTTTCGACCAAAACTTGTAGGTGTCCAAGTCCATTTTTTTTCGATTTTTTCGTCTAACTTTGCCCGGTCACGAAAAATCGCTTACGAAGAGAACGAGTGGAGATTTTTTGACCAAATTTGGGGAAAAGTTGCTTTGGGACAGTAATTCACTCCCTATTGAAAATGGGCCGGATCCGCGGAAAACTTTTCAATCCGCGATTTTTTTTGTTTTTTTTTCCGAAAATTTTTAACAACATTTTGCTCCAAAACGGAAAGGAAATTGGGAAAACAAAAAACGCTAATCAAAGGGTCAAATAATGTGGTTTAAGATTATAAAAAAATATTTCATAAAACTAAAACAAAATGGCCGCCAGCCATATTCATTTTTTTTATTAATAAAAGGTACCTACTAAATCGGTTTATATTCGTTTAATTAATTAAACTTAATTAAAAAATCAAAAAAAAATTCTAAATTTTGTTATAAAAAACAACTGAAAACCTGTTTTTATGGTTCCTTGTACCAAAAACTCATTTTTGCTTGTCCAAAAAGAACAATCTTTCCAATCCAAACAAAAATTTCACAACTCACTGAATCTAAATACGCTGATGCGTATGCCCCTCATGAATAGCCAAGTGCACCAAGGGTGTACGACCCGGGGTGGTCCGAATTTGCGCGCATTTCGTCTCATCACGCATCACTCGTTTTCACTAACGAAATTTCATCGTTATATCTAGTGTCCGTTGATATCGGATCTGGTGGTGCTACAAGGATCGGATCGGTGACCGATGACAGGTATCAGATGCGATACGGCGACGAAGGGCTTCCAAAGATATGTTTATGCTGTTTATTGAGCTGTAAGATAGTAGACCAGCAACTGTTTAATAGCTTCCAGTGCTCGGAACAGTTTAAAGGTCTAATCTTTCAGTTTTCATTGCAAGCACGTCCTAAAACTTTAGAGACAATAGACAACATAAGATTTACAACAGTCATTTCAGAAATAAATTGTTGGAGCGCTTCGCAACTGGCGACACAATTTTCGCCCGAAGACATAAATTAAAAGGACTACAGACAAGAAACGTCGGTAATTTGGCTATAACAAATGTAGGTTATGGAAATACAACACCAGGTAGATGAAAGGTTCGTGTCAAAAAGGTATTAAAGTGAATGAGGGGAAATGATGGAGTTTAAACAAAGAATGCTCTAAATATTATGCTAAACATTTTCTCGGAATTATTTGCATCATTTGTCACTTAGATCATTATAATTCTCAATCAACAAGAACGAAATTGCAAATTGTTGTAAGGGACTCGTGCTTGAGTATTATGTTACCGACATCTGTTATTTTGTTTCCTTTTTGGAAGAATTTATACATATCGTTTACAAAACGTGTCCAATATGTCTGTTTTAGTCATTTTTGGATTACACATAATAAATTAAACATGGACCACCCTCAACACGAGTTTTTCTAATGGTCAAGATTATGTTTTGTTATCTACCGAAAAAAATAAATTTAAAATGTTGGTATCATTTTTAAGAAAACATGAAAGACAAATATATTGGTTTTTACTATGGTAAAACTAAACACTTATACAGGGTCACCAAATAAGTTGTCATCCTTTAAGCCAAAATAAGAAAGTTTTTCCTCTATCATTTTTGCATTCGTGCCATTTTGCAAAAAATATTAATATTTTATAAGTAAAGTAGAAATTTTGGGCCGTCACTGGTTGTTCCTGACCTAAGACAAATGACGCAAAATGTGCCTGCACAGTGGGCAATAATCTAAATTCATTAAAAATTTATATTTGTGCAGTTTTATTTGTTAAACGATACATAAAACGTACTTACAATTATAATAACAATTATTAAAAGTATAAAGTGAGGTTAGATAGCTTCGAACTGTCAGCACTTGAATGTAAAAAACTTCACCTGATTGGTCTAAATTATGTTTACAGCCATTCGAACGAAATTATGTTTACAGCCAATAATTAAAGCTTAAATTATAGAACGCTTGAAGATAAAAGTTATAATGAAGTAGCTGTCGAAGTTTATTATTTTGAAATTAAATATTTCATGTTTTTTATAACAAAACCCTATAGAATATCAAATGCGGTCGGGGTTTTTGTTTTCAGTGGTTTTCCGCTTCCCGTGGATACGGTTTATCGTAATTAGTTCATTCATATCAAATTCCATAAATAATTTGTTATTGATAAAAAATCAATTACCTTTTATAGAAAAACAAAATAAATCATCTAATAATTTTCCGAGTTGTATGGGGGCACGACTATCCAAATCTAAATAGAGAGGGTATGCTACAAGAGCGTTAACTGCGACCCTTTGTGCAACAGTGACAAATTACTGATATATTAACATCCCTCCGTATGTTTCTATATTTGGGACCATCTCCGATACCAGGTGATGCCGCGCTGTTACGAATTGTTTTAATAAAGGGTTGATAAATGTTGTCCGAACAAATTTAATGAAAAAAATAGATCGCATTTATCATTTTTGATGTTTGAGTAAGTGAGTTTTGTCATGCGAATTTAAAGGGCATTAGTTTTTAAACTTTTTCCGATTTCTCACATCTTCCAAAGTGTCGCGTGTTCTGGTTGACAGCACAAACAATTTTAAGAC